ATGAACGAATCTTTGTTGATAGCCAGTGGGTTTGCAAAGTACCTTCGTCTAAGATACATCAATTTCGTGTGAGCCATCCGCATTAAAACAATGATCAGCCACGGCCAAGGTATTGGTCCTCCTGTGTTTCAGATCTGCCTTATGTTCACGAACACGGTCCGAGACATGTCGCTTAGTTTCCTCAATGTAACTACTGCCGCAGACACAGCTTAGTTTGTAGACGCCGGGGTATTGCATGTCATTGATCACATCCTTCACAGATGAGATCAGATCTCGAATTTTCTGTACTGTGTTGAATCGAACCTGGATCTTGTGTTTGCTCATGATTTTGGAAATATTTTTGGTGACCCCTGCTATGTATGGCAAGGTGATGGTTTTGATTGGTCCTCAGATGGTTCTTTCCCAACAGTTGGGGTGATAGCTTTACGGATTGTGTGTCGTCTTGAAAGCTTGGTGTACGTGTTCCAGTTCACTGGCTAGGTGATGATGGTTGTAAATACATTGAGCTCTATGGTGTAGAGTTTTGATGAGGGAAGTTTTACAGGATGGATGGTGGTGGGAGTCAGGTTTTAGGTAGGCATCCGTATGGATTGCTTTCCTGTAGACGGAGTGGCCCATTGAGCCATCTGGCCTCTTTTCAATTAAAACTTCCAAGAATCGGGCCAGTTTGTAGGTGGGTGAATCAATGGCGAGTGCTAGACTAGCCCTGAAGCTTTGCTCTTACAGGACCCTAGGAGTACTTTAGCCTTGGCCAGTGGCCGAGCTATTGCGTGTACTGAGTGTTGAACTTCTTTCGCATCGTATGTAGCCAACCGTGCTAATCTGAAGTGCGGTGAGAGTGCAGTCGGTGCTATTGCACTGGTGGCCACGGGAAAGGAGGGGGCCCAGGCACTGGGCAAGGGATTGGGGTGGGAAATTGGTCACGGGGCCCCATTTTTAAATCCTTAATATTAAGTTCGCTTGCTTGCTTGCGCGCTTACGACCGTGCAAATCTTTCGGTCGTGTTTGAACCCACTTCCCGTGATCCAATCGAGCTGACATTTTGCACACAGACTCGTTGTGCGTGACAATTAATTTTCGTGAAAATGTTTTTCAAAATTTTACACTTTTTAGGAAAAAAAAATGATATTTAATTACCAATTGCTTAATGGTGGCAGACAATCATCTGACCCATAGGTGGCAGCCATCTCAAGCCAGAGGACGAGAGGACTCTAGCCTGCCACGCATATAAAGGATTTATAGTGAAAAACTTTGTTTTTACGGGTTAATTTTTTCATTATTTCCACCAGGGCCCTTGCCAACCGACGCTACGCTACTAACCTGGGCCAACACAGAGCTCCCTACACAATGCTTAATCTGGGTCTGATTATAATCGAGCGGAGAAGAAGCCGATAGTAGCAATGGTACTTTAAAGTTGAACGTGAGGTTAGCTTTTGTTGCCATGAATTTGCTGGTTTGTTTTGTTTTCCTCTCAACATAAATCAGCAATTCAAAAGCAGTGAAATCTGTAGGTGGCTTTCACGGGTGAATAGGCGTCTCAGAAAACCTCTGGGAACTGGTCATTGAAGCCTTCACATTTTCATTTGTGTTATGAGGCCCTGACACGCAAGCGTGAATACCCCTGTGTCTATGGACACAAGAATAAAAAGCAAACTCTTTTTGTTCGCGAATGAATGTGAAGTTCACCAATATACAATGTGTGCGTGCGTCATAAGCTGTCAAAACCCAGCGCATGGCAAGTGACGCTGAAAGTATCTGACTTCTTTCTGCCGACCTTTAAGAAATGTAGCCTTATTTGTCAAACATCGCATGCGGGCATGTGAACGTCTTACCACCGATCAATATATTTAAAAAAATGTTTTAGCGAAGCTGTGGGGTCTTACCTTTTTTGTTCAAGGCAACTATAACCCTCTTGGAGGTGGAGGGTGGCGCAAGTGGTTAGCCGCACTATGAACATGTGTGTCTGGAATTTTGATTCCCAGCCACGGCTAACGTTATACTGGTAGGAAACTCCTGGTTACACCAGCCCACAGGGGATTATTGTGTTCGTCCGTCCGTCGTGCAGGGAGGGGCTGGGTGGGGAGGGAGGGGCTGGGTGGGGAGGGTGGGGAGGGGCTGGGTGGGGAGGGTGGGGAGGGGCTGGGTGGGGAGGGTGGGAGGGGTAGGGCTGGGTGGGGAGGGGCTGGTCACCCCGTGGTGCCCTTTTAAAACTCAACGTTTAACCTACTCACGCCAGCTTGTGCCCGCCCTCACAGTCGGACATATTTGCGGAATACACCACGCCGCCGTTGACCCTGGCCATTGACCGAGCAACCCAACGTTCCTACAAACTCCCTCCGCAGGAATGTGTTAGGCGAGTGATATTTAAACCAGTTCAGGGCCCCATCATCCCTTCACCAGCCTTCAATGATCATCATGGTGAAGTATGCAAACAAAAAAAACTATGACCAGCACGTTATAGAGAGGCCTTCATCCAGCAGTCGACTGACAAAGGGTTGTACATTATTATTATTAATTCTAGCCTTTTTGCCAAAATGTAATATTAAACATTTGTCGAGCTTTTGGGGGTATTTTCACATTATTTGCGAAGCAATGATAAACGCATCTGAAAATTCGTAAGTCTTTATTGATGGCAAAACAACCGGCTTTAATCTTCTAAACATTGAAAGCCAAAAAGGTGATCTTGTTCATCTTGATAACTTTGATGTGCCTTTGAGTCCCATTAGGTTTGAATACTCGTTTTTATGTACCTTGTGAGGTAAACACTCGCCGACTATGGCTTAAAACAAGAACATGAAAAGGGATACTTAAACTGTGTCTAATAAAAAAACACAGAAGAATGCATAACACATTCAGTCAAATGGGTCTGATTAAACTGCTGGAAAACAAGGGATATAATTTCAATGCCCAGGCAATTTAAGTATACGCAAAGTTGGATCCAAAAGGCTCTTTGCACATTGCCACGTTTATTGACGTCAGCACTTATATAACCAGCGCTTTAACAAAACAAAAACCAAGTTAACAACAGAAAGAGACCATCTGCAACTGCACAAGAGCAATACACTATCCCCCAGAGCACAAATCCTTCCTATCACAGGATCTGTGCTCACGGATAAAGATCACAGAATGATGCACTGAGGTTAACAGCATTCGACTAAATGCTACATAGGTCAGTCATGGAAAAAAATTGAAACACTTGTCACAGTGAGGTTTTTTAAAACTTAAATCTCGAATTATATATATATTATCTGTTTGAATATGCCCTGCGATACACTTGTTCACAGTTTCTAACTGCGTACAGTTCAACTGAAAGCATGAGCGGAATGTCAATGTCAATATGCAAGTAGACTAAGAGAACGTAGTTTGTAACACCATCTCATTGTTTCAGATTAAAAAAAAAACATTGCGGTTGCAAATGAATAACGATGGAAACTGGGCTAAAAAAACTCATCAGGTGTGCCATTTCGATATTTTTTCCTCCGTATATTAAATTTGTGGGGGAAAAAACATTGCACCGTTAAGCAAGAAGAATGGGGCTCATAGATTAATTTGCCGATGTTTTTCCCTCAGAAAGATAATGGGGAGGCAATTTTAAGTTGAGTGCGTTACGCCTCCGCCACATGGGAACTTTAGCCCCGAAGTTCAAAGTCAATAATCTAATGAATAAAAGCCATCTCGTCTTTCTACCCAAAAGGTGGTGTTGGAGGCAAGCCAGAGAGGTTTTATAATTGAAATAATTCTTACCACCCACCACAACTTTCCCTCAGTCAGGGCAGATATTTAACAAATACAATTTACGACGCCGAGAGGAATACAATATGCTCAACGTTAAATGCGGTACAAGTAGAATAAAAACATTGCGACAATTTCACTGCGTTTATTAAAACCTCATCCACTTTAGCAACGACGAACATCGTGGGAGTGAATGCACGGGATGATTAGTTTGTGAAAGAAAAAAAAACAATTCAACAAATTGCTCAGGACCTTTTGGTTTTATATCGTTTTATTTTTTTGTATTAACGTCATTAATAGTAACATTTAAACTCAGTTTTTTTTTGGAAATACTTTCATAAACAATATTGCTGAACGGTCTTGATTATTGCAAGCAAAAGTGCACCACTGTGCATGCACAATTTGCTTGTATTGCCTTTCTACATACTTTACAGTCATATTTCACCTCGACATAGATAATTCAATACATAAATTAATTTACCCTCGCGTTATTTGTACTTTTTTTTTTACAACACCTTAAGTATAGGATGCGTTTAACAAGAAGCAATGCTGCGGTGACCAGATGAAAGAGATTACATTTCCAACGGATTAGATGTTTGCAATGTGGAGGCTCTGTCTACATGACCATTTGCAAAATACGTGAAGCAAATGTAACCGATCATATATCCACAGACTTGGAGTGCCCTCACAGCCACCGTAAAGTTAGCGAGACCCTTCCTGCAATCAATTCGGAGACAAATATTTTAAATATGAATTCGTTTCAGAAAATTATCAGCATTACGAGTACTACTACGGTACTTTATTGAGCATATAAACATGTTGAATTGTCCTATATTGGTCAGAAGCAAGCCAAACGTTTAGTTTGCTTATGGATAAATGTACGACGGGAGCGGTTGCGGTTACTTTTCGGCCGTTGTATGTCAAATGCACCAGATGCCGGGTTTGAAAGAGTGACACAGAGTCATGCCGCAATACGGCTCACAAATCATCTTTGAATATGCTGATACAGCAAAAATAAGAGCCTTCAATGGCACCCAAAACGAACGAAAGCCTTCACCCGCGGGGTTCTTCTAAAAGTGGATTTCCTGGTGGTCGTGCGGTAATTTCTCCTGCACGTGACACTAACGTCCATTTAACAAAAATACCAAAGTCCAATCGTGTCGTTAACCAGCATGGTTGTGAAGTGTTTCGTAATTTTATTCATAAAATAAAGGTTATCAATTTAACTCGATTAAAAATACATTTTCCATCGCCGTTTTTTAAAAATCATATGTAAGAATAGGTAAAGTGGTTTGCTCTTTGGAGAGATTGTGCTACTGACTACTGGCTCTTCAACTACGTGACACATTACTTGATGTAATTTCAGTTCGTGGACATTAAATAGAAATACTCTGAATAGGTACTAATCTCTCGCTCTCTCACACAGATTCAATGTTGCGGCCAACGGAAGGCTCTCAAAGGCCACCAGCCAAAACATCGAATCTATTTCCTTGTCGTCAAGAGCAGCATTCCCCACTTAATCACCCTGCCGTGCAATTGGTAAGACAGAAATGATGACCGTTACAATGCGCGATGTTATGAAACTAAACAATGTTACAATGTTTATTTTACCAGGTAAGGCCCACTGAGCTACATAGCTCTTTTTCATAAGTGACCTGGCCGCAAATGATATCTCAACGAAGTGGCTGATCAATGTGGAAATGTATTGCAGCCAAATACTCTTTAACGCATGTTTCTAAATGTAGAGGGAAAAATCCACGCGACCACGGGGAGACCACGCACACTCAAAATATACAGGCGTCGGGATCGGGATCGAACCTATGACCTCCTGTATACCAGGCGAGGTAGTTAACATCTCGCCACAGAGATACTGACACGTCCTATCGCGTACCAATACACCGCGTGCACATGCGGCGCTGGCCGCGGGATGGACTGCGCCGTCCAAAAGTGTGCGCGCTCCACCAAAGGAGTACGCTACTGTGTGGACCTTGAGCAGAACTTTAGGCATGTGGGAAGGGAGAACTTGGCTGCATCGGTGAGAGCAAATACATTTACAATGTTAAGCACGGTGCACATTCGATCGACACCTGCTCGCGACGGGCACTGAGCAACGGAATTCTTGGATCGTGAGCAAAAGTCGCTTGGCACGCGCTCTCGGTCGAAGCCGGCTTCAAAGTGGTAACACATTGGTTGCACAAGTTTTATCCTTGCGCACGTTGGGCAAGAGTGGAGAAATGGTCTATTCATAAGCAATACGGCCGCCGGCAATGACAATCGTCTCGGGTTACCGCAGTGACGCGTTTTACCGTCGGCTCTCATCGCGTTTCCCGTGGGGTCCCATCGTTCTGGCTTGCTGAAGTGCGAAGCCCACGAACCGTCCCCCCCCCCCCCCCCCCCCACCGTTCCAGACGATGCGTTGTTCACCTTACAGGCGAACCAGACTCGCTCGCTGTTTGCGGCACGAGACGCCCCAAATATATGAACGGGGGGGGTGAGGGGGGGCTTCTTCCGAGCCTCCGCGCGCAAGGCACGACGAGCGAAGCGTCAGAAGACCGCTGCTGTGGCCACCCCACCCGCAAATTAGCAAAGGACAGCGTTGGCATGGCTCTGGCAGGTGGAGTGGGGGGGGGGTCAACAAGGCCCACTCTGCAGGTCGCTTGCGGCTGTCTGCAAGGGGCCAACTGGAATTTTTCTCAGTTTGTGACGTTAAGCGTGGACTGATCCGATGTGAAAACCGCGGTAAAATAACCCTCGCGCTTTTGACGTAACAAGTAGGCATGTTTCGCCTACCTTGTGCTGCTGTCTGAACAAGTCGGGCTAAATAAAGTACCTATATTAAAATAGGCAGCTCTTCCCCCTGATTGTGCAAGTGACTTCTTCATCTCATACAAACAATACTATCACTTATATTACAGTTTTGTAATATGTATAATTGTTGTTAGTCTGTACAGCAAAAGTACCAAAAATTTACAGTTAAAATGAACACACAAGCAACATAAAAAGGCATGAACCACTGGAGCACAAAGTTATTATTATCAGACCGACGTGCCTGAAACGGAGGCAAAACAATAAATTTAATGTTAAATATAAATGTACACATTCAATGAAAGCAGTGCATTACGCTTATTACTGTTATTATTATTATTGAAGAAACACACAAAATTTAACCACCCTCTGAATACACATAAAACACCGCCTGATTTTACAGTTATACATTCGCATTTCTTTTCAAGTTGATAAAACATTGTGGAATTTAGCACAAACCAAAGGACACAATAGGCAATTATATAATATCGATGTCATTCGCAAATATTTTAAAGTTGCTTCTTTTTCTCGAGCACGCTCTTCAATAACACCGTATTCCACTGACACCAATTATGAATATTGTTATATCATTATTATTAATTGCACAACACTTAACAAGAGAAAAATTACCACCGTTGGTCTAAATATCGCTGCGGTGGCGGGACATGGGTTGGTGCTTAAAGAGGCATTTGAGTTTACCTGAATGCGCAAAACAACCCAGACGCGTTTAACACAGTACCCAGCCAATGACAGAAGAAATCCACCAACATCTTGGAGAATGATCATTGAAAAGGGCTCACAATTTAAATGTCCCGTACAACATTGTCCCTTCCCGGTGTTCCGCGCTCGGCTCAGTGATGCCAAATTGATAAAAAAAAAACTGTGCCAAGAAAGAAATTGTCGTGAGCTGGGGGGGGGGGAGCACCATAGGAGCATCATGCGTCTTTGCGCATTGCAGTCCCTCTGGAGGTCAGACAGCCCCACGGCAGGAAACAAAACGTGGAGAAACTGCCTCAATCGAGCGACGGTCCGGCTTACCCCAATGGGGTCATTCACTATTACAAACAAGCTCGGATGAAGCTCGTGGACCAATTCTTTTTTAAACCGTAACGTGTAAAAAAAAAAAACCTCCACCATATATTTCAATGTTGAGACGCACTATTTTAACGTTACCGTGACTCGACATTTTACTCAAGTTTTTGACAACCACATTTGCCCGTCGGCCCTATGAATGTGCTCACGGAAGGGCCAACTTTCCCTGGCAACGTGGACTGACTGTGTTCCATCCGATACCAGCGACCAAATCGACGACCTTCCTGGACCGCCCCCGATTTAATCAACCAGGGCAACCTGCTGCAATACGGTCGGGGGTGGGGGGGGGGCTGGTTGCAGCACGGCCCCGCAGGGAGCGTAGGGGCAGCACTAACGTGAACATCTCCTTTGTGCGACCCCAAGTGAACGCACCGCCCCTCGGTTACTGGAAGCTCTGGGGGCTCACACGGAGCTGCCCAGGGGCAGGTGCAGCCGGCTCCTTCTAGTGGCCCGCCTCTCTCCAGCCGGGTCACGGCGTTTAATTTTCCGACGCTCGCGGGTCAACGCCAGGACGCAGCCGCAGGGTGTGCGGGCGGTGCAAACAGCGCCAGAAGCCTGGTGCCGGAGCTGTGAAGAGGTAGGGATTGGACAGTGGGGGTGCCCCCCGCCTCCGCCGCCCCCCCCCCCGCATTTAATCACTTGCACCAGATTCCCACGGCAACCGACGATATACGCCACTGTCACGAGGCATCATCATGCCAAAGGCGTGGGTCTTCTGTGCAGCTAAACAACGATCCTATTGCATCGCCCCCACAGTTGAAAAGTCACGCGTTTTACAGTCATCTGATGATAGTCAGTAACCAATCGAACACTATTTTTTTGTACGTAACACTGAAGCCGTCTTAAATGCTAGATATTCAGATGTCACACTGATGTATGTACGCATGTACTGCTTACATTAAAAGCAAATAATTGATGTGTTTTTTTAAACATTAAAGTTTTAGAATGACCACGAAAATAATTTGTTCCATCAGCCGGATGCCACTTTTGACATATTAGTTCGTCGCAAGCAGCCAGCCAACGTTTTCATTGTTCGAACGTTTGTCAAATGCGCCGCTGTTGTTATATTTTTTCAATAGTTTTCTTGACAAGAGAGAACTCACAAGCTAGATATATAAAATAAAAAACGGGGGGTGGCGGGGGCGAGGATGTGCCCTAAAACTGTCCTAACACGCTTGGTTCCCCTGTACCATTCACAGCCCTTCGTTTTGCACTCGACGCCCCGTACAGATCGCACCACTGCGATCCGTACTCAGACACGCAACTCCAACTCCCCCCTGGATACTCGGGAGGGCAGACGGCGTCATTGGGCATCATTCATCCTCAAAACTCCTCCAAAACCAAATCGGCCGACCGCCTCCTCGACCACATTCTTCGCGATCATCACCGTGTCACCTTAGCAGCTCCCCCACCCCCTCTCGACTTCTCCCCAGATGTGCCCGGAGCGAGGGCCGACTACAGCGAGAAATCATCTCGCGTTGCCCCCACCCCCCACCTCCCCACTTTGGGAACGAGCTCGCTTCGTGGTGTCAGCTTAAATCCCGCCCTCTCCCCTTTTCTAGTGGCCCTATTAAATTTCTTCCTCAATTTAAGATATCCCTTTCGCTTGTGGGGTGCAGTTAGGAAACCCCGGCACGTATTTCGCTTCTCAGCATCCGCAACGTTACGATTTATTCGCCGCAGCTTTTATTCAGCAAGGTCCTCCGTGGTGGGTCATTCTTGTCAAACAGCTTAAGGCCGAAATGTTTCTTACGCGCGTAAACAATTAAAATCAAAAAAAAATAAAAAAATCTAAAGCTTGGAAGCATTCGCGTAACCTGTTAAAAGCTATCATTTTAGACCTGTGGTTGTGTGCTTGGCCCGTAAGAGGCAATGTCCTGTTTCATGTTCGTAATAATTTCATCCATATTTGGTGCTTTTCAGTTTGAAGCAGCAGCAGCAGCAGGATGTTGATGTTGCTTTTGTTGAGAATCCACATGGCCGCTACGTCCAAATGCCTGAACCTTTACGCTCACAGCGGCGCCAATTCTTCGCACTGCCACAGGCGGCGTTGTTATTCCACCCTCGGTCGATCCGCCGGGCCCAGTCTTCAGGCAGCCCAACTGTTGCACACATGCTGCATCGTTCGCCGACTCGGTTTGCATCTCGTCCGTCTCTCTGCCAACGCGCGTCGCCCACGGAACTTCGCGGGAATTCGCAAATGACCTTATTTGGTGGAAACAAACCGACGGAAAGCGTCTGGGTTGGAAAGAGGCTCCCCCCGTCTGAAACGCTTCCCCTCATCCCAAACAAAATGCTGTCGGGCGTGTGCGCAGTATCGCTACAACGCGGCACCGCCACGAGGCGCGCCAACAAAGAGTCTCTCCCGGGCTTTCGTTCCATCTCCGCTTCCCTCGCGGTGAGGGCGGGGGGTGGGTGGCGGTCACCAGCAGCCAGCGAGCACCGTCGACTGATTCTCCGTCGCCTCCATCATCTCGCAGCCCAGCAGCTCGAGCTCCTCTCCGGCGGCACCGGCGTCACGGTACGTCACCCGCCCCGGCCTCTCTCCGCCGTCCAGGAGGACGCCACGCTCACCGCCGCCGCCAGCGCCGCCACCCGCCGCCGGCACCGCGAAGGGCTGCCCTCCCTGCAGGAAGTCGCGCGCGAAGCGGCACTGCTCGAGGTACGCGGCGCCGTCGGCGCGGGGTCCCTCGCCTGCGCCGGACTCGTACGGCGCCGGCGCTTGCGGCCGCAGATCCTGCCCGTCGGCGCCCACCTGCAGCAGGTGCAGCTGGTACTGCTGCTGCCTATGCAGCTGCGCTTGCAGGAGCTCGTCGCAGCTGGAAGGGCGGCTAAACGTCACGTGAGCCTCCGCCCCTGATGTGAACGCCTGCGGTCCGCGCTGCAGCTGGTGCGCGTACAGCTGCTGCTGCTGCTGCTGTTGCTGCTGCTGCTGCTGTTGCTGCTGCTGCTGCTGTAGTTGCAACTGGGAAGCCTGGCTGCTCTGCTGCAGGTGATGCGAGTAGTGCTGCGGGTGTCCGTACACCTGCTCAGGTTGCTGAAGCTGCTGTTGTTGTTGCTGCTGCTGCTGTTGCTGCAAGTGAAAGTGCTGCGGGAGCATTGCATGCGCGTCACTGCTCTGTTGAGCTGTCGCGTACTGGCCTCCTTGGTTCTCCTGCAGCTGCATTTGGTGCAGGTGGCTGTGCAGGCTGTGCGTCGGAACGTCCTGGTGAGGCAGCAGGTGCGAGGGCTGCTGTTGCTGCTGCTGCTGCTGTTGCTGCGACTGCTGCTGCTGCTGCGACTGCTGCTGCTGCTGTTGGGTCATGATTTGGCACTGCTGCTGGTTGCGCAGTCCGCTCGAAGGCTGAGGGTAGGGCCCATCGCTCAGGTGCAGCTGCTTGAAGTGCGTCTGCACGGACAGCCGCTGCAGCTGCATCCGCTTCTGGTAGAGTCTGCGATGGGGAGGGACGGCACCACGTGATGAATGTATGTATGCACAGAGCCAACCGCCGCTACTAGCATGCGTGACCACGGCAGGCTATTTGGTACAATTACGTGACCATGCAGAAAACCTCCATCATGACAATTTAACGCAATCATTCCTTTTAAGAAGTCATCCGCTCCCCTAAACATTGCTCCTGGGACAGCGCAGGACTGATAAACTTGGACATCACGTTCATCTTATTTTTTATTTTGAGTTCTGTTTGGTTACATTGTTCCTCCCCATTCTACCACAGTAGGGTGCACTATGCCCTGGCCTAATATAAGCCACACGCTGTTTCTATCCCTCCTTTTGACATTCCCCACTTGTTGTTCTGGGCTCTTGAATGACAATAAAAAATGCTTGACATAAAAAACAAATTAGTTGTCTGCTTCCCAGCCACGGTTAACCCGAGTGATTTCTGAACCGTTCTAGGGCCTACTCCTCCTCCTCCTCCTGCCTGGCATCAACTCACACTGGCGAAGTACGGTTAACCAATCCTCACGATCGACACCGCATGGGGAGACATTCACGCCCGAGACAAACGGCTGTAAATTGTTGTTGTTGTTATTATAATTATTATGGGTGGATAGAGATGGAGTGATTGAAGGAAGCTCTAGATTGCAAGTCCAGTGGGCTAATAATTACCCCACGGCAGCATCAAAGCAGATGGCATGCTCCGATTACTGTCCAGAGATACTCCTGGCTGGCGAAGGGATAGACTTCAACGACTCAGTGCGAGTGGACTGACAGCAAAGCGAACCAGCGTCGTATATTACCTTCGTAATTTGCGTGCTATCGGAACACGTTTTGATTTCATTGGTTTCGCAATCTCAATGCAAATTGAAATTCTCATTCTGTGCGAATAGAAACAACGATTCAAAAGTAAACACGGAGACATTTAAAATAGAATTGACCTGTGCTCTTGCAGCTGCTGCTGCAAGCCCTTGGTGTGCAAGTCCTTTCCATATACGACGTATCCATTCCGGCTTTTGCACCCCATTCCCAGGGTCTGGAGATGGTTACACACATGCGCAGAGCGAACAGTGGTCAGGACTCAGGCCGGTACAAGACGCGATTCCTCGTCACGTAGAACAGGGGTCGCGAGTAAAGCGGTGGCAGCATTTGCCAGCCTCTACCCGTCGATTCCGCACATCCTCTCCCGGCCAGTGGCGGGCACAGAGCGAGACAGAGCCGGAGCACCACTCAGGGAAATCAGAGTCTCGCTTCTGATCAGCCAACCAAAGCCTCGCTTTTCCCAAAGGTTTAGGGTCTCGGTCTAACCGAGAGGCAGCTGTGAACGCCGAAATCCCGCCGACTGACGATGTCCCGGTGGCTGGGAGAGTCACATTCACATTGGCCGAGAGGCGTGGCCGTCCGTGTCCCCCTGTCTCCGTTTTTGCGATTATCTTTTTTTTGGGGGGGATAGGTGACAGCGCACACCTGCGCAGCGGCAGCGGCAGAATTCGATTGTTTCTCGTGCCGCCGTGCGACTGGAGCCACGACCACTCTGTCTGATGATTGTTACCAATCGTGTCCCTTTGTTGGCTGCCGATAGGGCCCAAGACAAAATACGGGTTAATTTAGTCATTGGAACCTCATTTGCCAGTCGAAAAATATGATAATTGTTTTTTTACCCTTTTATCTGCAGTCGTAATGCAAACAAAAAACATAACTCTGATAATGTAACTCTGATAATGTATGTTTTTTGTTTGCATTACGACTGCAGGTATTGTGGTCTATGCAAACATGACTCCTTGTAAAAAAAAGGTGTCAGTTTTGTTGCCAGGTAAAAGGGTAAAAAACCAATTATCATATTTTTCGACTGGCAAATGAGGTTCCAATGGTGTAAATGCTTACCCTGAGCTCTCATACTCTGATGGTGCATTGTCTTTGAGTTGTGCGCCTTTTGGCGTCATCTGGTCCAACACCATGTGAGACTAGGCTCTAAGGAAAGCTGTCTCGGGTGTGGACCAATTAACTTCAAGGACAGTGCATACATTATCAGAGTTATGTTTTTTGTTTGCATTATGACTCCAGGTATTGTGGTCTATGCAAACATGACTCCTTGTAAAAAAAGGTGTCAGTTTTGTTGCCAGATAAAAGGGTAAAAAAACAATTATCATATCGGGTTAATTTAGTGTTTACGCTATGTTACATTGACAACGTAGTAAAGTTCATCGTAGTGCTGTATTATGCTCGCGTGTCTATGCCTGACCAGCGTGGTGAAAGTACGGTCACTTAACCCCCATGACAACACAAATCATTGGGAGGTCCTCATCTAGCAGGGGATCAACAATAGGGCTGTACCATGTACGTGGTGTTTAGAGAGAGAGAGAGGACCACTCTGAGTTTGCTGTAATCCTCCACGTTTGTAAAGTAGGAATGACATTCAAGTGAAATCCACAAAGCGGCATTGAATCAATTGTGTACAGGTCACAGGATGGCATGGCTCAACAGCTGTGGCACAAACTCATAATAACCACAATCGCGTGACTGGCTGGCATGCGTTCTGCCGGAAACATTGCCAGTACCACACATGTAAATTCAGGGTTGAGTATTGGATACAAAAAGCATTTGCATTCAGGGATTTTCAGATTCATGAAGACGATTTCGAATCCGTTTTGGGGGGAATTTCAGTCTCGGATGGTTCACGTGACATAGCAATTTGACGCATCTTTGTGCTAACAAACGTGATTTCACGCGATGCTACTTTCTGGGAGAAAAACGCGAATTTGACTTTAAATGCGGCACCATTATCTGTGCTCTCACGTTTTTAGATCGATCCAAAAATGTAAAATTATATTTTCGGATAATCGACATGTAGGCCTGATTTTTGAATTTTATTAGATTAATCTGAAAACTGTGAACACATCCCTAACATATACACGCAAACACATATATAGTGACGTAGAAGGGAAATCATAAAATCAGATAAATATAAAAAAATATAAATTCTCACGACGTTTCGACTGCAACACAAGCAATCATCATCAGGTGTGAAATCCACAGCACGATGATGATGATTGCTTGTGTTGCAGTCGAAACGTCGTGAGAATTTTTATTGTTTTATATTTATATTATTGTATTATTTCCCTTCTACGTGACTTTACCGAAAGAACCAAGAATATGAATCCCTGCAGTCACGAAAGCTTTAAATCAAAACATATATAGTGATTGCATTTCAGAAATACAAACAAGATGAGGTCCATCATATTAAAATGAAGTATAAAATGAACGTGGGCCATTCAGTGGCATCGCATTCAACAGCGTTCAGCCTGAGAAGCCAGGCTCCAAAATGTGAAGTGGGGGAGTTTCTTCCACGTGGTGTTCACATTCACCGCTGAATCATAAACACTCGGCAATTTGTAATCACCAGCAAATTAATCATTTTTAAATTCTAGGTGTGTCAATCAGGTCGGTGTTGTTCCCAGATATGACTGTGGCTGACCATTGATTAGTAACCGTGGCTCAACACTGATAGATTGATATTGCTGTGGGTACAATGTTCGTACTAATTTTAGCTTATCTCATTGAAACAAGGAAACGGCCTTATTGTAAACCTCAGAATGAGGAGACCCAATGAGTGAAACGCTTATGAAAGACAACGAATTGGCCAAGCAATCCAACCAGGACCCTGAACGCTCACCACTGCTCCACCGCAGCTACTTCCCCCACCCCCAGTTCACATCACCACATTTATACAACGAGAGAGAGAGAGAGCACGAGTCAGCCCATGGAAACACGATTGTGCTGCTGTAAAAGGCACAGGGCTTGAGTCAGGAAGCGGCGGAGGGAGGGGAGCGAGGGGTTGGTTGGTAGGCTGACCTGGGAATGCGTAGGCAAGCCGTAGGCGTCAAGGCTCTGCCGGCGAAGGAGGAGATGCGGGTGATAGGAACCGGGGAACCCCAAAGAAGCATGCTGCATGCCACCATCCTTCAACACCACCACCACCACCACCAGCGGCGAACAAAACCAAAGCAAACGGAGGGGAATGTGCAGGCGTTGTCGTGTTGTGTTTGAGTGCGAGATGTTCAAGTAGACCGGAAGAAAGAAGAGATTTTTACAATTAATAAAAAAAAAATTCATCGAACGTCCGATTAATTTTGAACCAACAATTATGAAATAAAAAGCATCACGTGGAGGTCTGTGTTATCTGAAATAAAAAGACCTTCTCCCCGGCTATAATGGCTCCCGATTGGCTAAATTTCCACCGGGCAAAAATCGGCCTGCAGATGACGAACGAGTAGGATGCAAAAAAAGCGTCGCTTAAATCGTGCTGAACGCCGTTAACGCCGGGCTCCCGTATACTGGTGCGCCTACTACGCGGTTTTCCAATAAACACGTCTTCCACATTTTTGCATTTATTTCCTGTGGCGAAGGGTTTTAAGCGTTGGCAGGGCCCCGCTTCTTCGCAACTCGTCCTACGGGGGCATTCAATTTAAGCCGATGAAAACGCGCGCGTTAATATGTTTTCCTTTGTCGGTCATTATTATTATTATTTTTCTCTCACTCTCTCAACGGCAGATGTTCACACGACACTCCATCCTCATGCTGTGGTACAAAATGTCCCTGTTTGGTTGCTAGGCGCGTTGATGGAACGGGTGGGGGCGGAGGGGACTCAGGGTAGGGAAAGGTTGAGGAGGAGGGGGGGGGGGCGTTTGGTGTAGGCAATGGGGGTGGAGGGTTAGGGGGGGGTGCGGTGGTGGTGGGCAGGGAGAGATGGGGGGGGAGCAGCGGAGAGGGGGGGCCATGTGCTTGAGCTGGGGTGAACCCACAGGAGGCACGACTGATGATGTCATCTCCCGGGAAACGGCCGCACGTCCGCGTGATGCTCGCGCCCGAGTCGTGACTAACGTTGTTTAAAGGACATTGCCAGGGTCGCCGGGGGTCGCTTCAAAGGGTTGTGAAGGGGAGCTGGGAGGTACACTGCCCCCCGTGTTTACATCCTGTTTACGTCCCTCCGTATTTTCGATGCTTTAGATGTCGATTTTAAGCCCTCCGTTTGAATTCCACCGTTCTTATCTTTCTTTTTAAGATCGCGTATGCTTACATCCATGATGTTATCGGCATTGTTTACGACCCAGGGTTGACAATTTAACCCGGCAAATTAGTATTATATATTTCGATTTAAAGCTTTCGTGACTGCAGGGATTCATCTTCTTGGTTCTTTCGGTAAAGTCACATAGAAGGGAAGTAATAAAATAATTAAAATAAAACATAATAAAATAAAATAATTCTCACGACGTTTCGGCTGCTTGCGTTGTAGCCGAAACGTCGTGAGAATTATTTTATTTTATTATGTTTTATTTTTATTATTTTATTACTTCCCTTCTACGTGACTTTACCGAAAGAACCAAGAAGATAGTATTATAATGTTCATCCTAATAGGGCCCCTTTTTAATCGTGCATTGTGTTTGTTACTGAAACGTATTCTTTCAATCCCATGAACGCAACATCAGAGTACAATGAGCAAATGAATCTGTTCAATGATGCTACAGCATGAATCATAAACATACACACACACACATATACGTACAGCGATACTCTTTGATTAAGTCCCCCTTTGACAACCCAACATTTCAAAGGAGTCAACATGATGTGTACGAGGCCAATGACCACCAACAATAGTATACGTCGTATATGGAAAGGACTTGCACACGAAAGGCTTGCAGCAGCAGCAGCAGCAGCTGCAAGAGCACAGGTCAATTCTATTTAAAATGCCTCCGTGTTTAATAATTTTTTGCCGCAAACAATACGCATTCTCGGCTTTGCATCCACACGTCCACTGGTGGGTTATTTTTTTTTGCTCACGAGCCAAACATTGACCGTGCCACGCCTTGGCCACGTGTGTGCGTGTGCCCGACGACAATCGCCGTTCGATTACCTGGCCAACCTGCCAGCACAGGCCGGAGCCCTCGGGCTGGCCCATCTCCTCCACCTCGGCCTCGTGTTTGTTGAGCTCCAGGATGCCGGGAGCTCGGGCCAGGCTGCTCACGTGCTGCCTGAAGGCCACTACGCCTGCCGGAGGAAAATGCAGGTCAGCCAACCACACCGAGCCACTCGGCAGCTGTCTGGCGGGAAGTTACCATCGACCGACCGACAGGGCAGGAGCGGCGCAGGCAGCTCGCACCGTTGACATCGTCGTCGTCATCATCATCGTCATCGTCGTCGTTATCATTGTCGTCATCAATCTTGCAATGATCTTCATTATCCTCATCATCATCATTATTATCACCACCATCATCATCGTCGTCGTTATGACTGTCGTAATTAACAGTCAATATGGTCACTCGATACCACTACTATCATCATCATCATCACCTGTGCTCTTACACGTGGGTCTTGCAAGCACGCAAATTCACTCGTGCGCAGATAAAACATCACGGGCGGGCGGGCGGGCTGCAAGGTGGCTAGAGGACAGTAGCCCAGGAAGTAGTTCGCCGATCTATCGGCACAGATTTTGCGAGCATCCCTTAAAACGTCCCGGGGGGGGGAAGCTGGACGGACGGCGTCGCGTACCCTGAGTGAGCGACGTGTCGGACGCCCTCCGACCCTCGCGGAAGCTGACGGGAGAGCGGTTGTGCTCGTCACGTTCGCCCTGCCCGGCCTGCTGCTGCTGCTGCTGTTGGTGCTGCTGCTGCTGCTGGTGGACGAGAGCGGCTCCTCCTCCGGCGGGGAGGAGCGGCGCCGGCGGCGGCGACGGTGTCCCGCCGCCGTCCGCGTCGCGCTGCGAGCAACCGCCCGGCGCTCCCACCGCGGCCGTGGGCAACGCCGCCAGCTGCTGCTGCTGCTGCTGTTGGTGGTGCTGGTGCTGGTGGTGCCGTTGGTGCTGGTGCTGGTGCGGCAGGGGAGGAGGAGGCGGAGGAGGGGGAGCGCCGGGCGGGAGATCCTGGCTCGAGTGATGCAGCACGGTGCCCAGCTCGCAGTACTCCGAGCCCATGCTGCCGAACGGCGAGCTCGAGCCCAACAGGAAGTACGTTTCTGCGTGGGGGAGAGGCAGGTACGAGCGTTACTTCATTTGTACGTAGCACGAGGAGGGAGGATGTACAGCAAGTAGGTTGCCTGCCCTGAAATATACATCTTTTTTCAATTATTGTTTATACCACTTTGTTGGAGCAGCGTGGTGAAGTACGGTCCAATGACGTCACATGACCGACATGAAGCGGGGGAAACCTTTATCTGCTAGTGGCTGGACAAAGTGATGTCAGCTGCTGCTGCTAATACTGCTCCTGCTTAATTTGTTTTGCTCTTTCTTGAAGTTTCGTATTTGTACGCGTGTTGTATTTTCTGCATTGCTTATAATTTTAACGACGTTACACGCTTGTGTTGAACTTTTCACGTGATGATGATGAGCCACTTCGTTGAGCTAACATCTGTGATGGCCCGGTTGCTTCTGAAAGAGAGCTACGTAGCTCAGCGGGCCTTAGCTGATAAAATAAAAATATATCGTTTTAGAGTTGATATTAACAATTTGTGGGAGGTAGGCTGTGGCTGTCCTATGGAAGACTCAAACTCCGTAATAGGAATGTGGAATTTCGATATACTGGCTCAGGTCGGTAAAAGGGATGGCTTCAATGCTCATTTGGAGCAAGAAATCACGTTGCTATATATTTTACTACAGTATTAACATTGTATACGACAGTATTAACATTTTATGAAAAGTATGGTAAAATCATACTTTTAAATAACGTGCATAATTACACACAATACCAGTCAAAACCCTGAGAACACACAACACCACATAAATGTTTTCAATGTTATTTTCATTCATTTGGATTTAAGCTGCCGGACTGGATCTGAATGAATTAAAACCTTTAATTAAGATCAGGTGGTAGCACAGCGATCTAATTGAACAAACTGTACAGCTTCACCCAATTACACAGGAGGTCTGAGTGTAAATACATCATGGAAGGACAAACACGTTACAATGGTAATTTCCACTCCTCACTGTAACGTGATTCCAAGGTCAATTAAAGGTCAATAAAGTAATTTGCACACGTTAATCTACAGCTGGCCATTGCCACGAGCTCTTTGAATTATAAAGGTTCCCCCCAACTGTGACTATCTGGCACTCTTTCAGAAACAACACGGACCCAGCGCTCAAACGCGAGAAACTCAGGGGGTTGCGTTGGCCCGGTGCCCCAATAAGGATACTCACCACTCTGAGAAGAGTCACCCGTGCCTCGGGTTTGAACTCGGCTCTCAGAAATGCGAGCCCAATGCTGTCAAGCAAGCAGCCACCACTCCCGCCTCTCTCTCTCTCTCTCTCCTCCTACGAGGCGCACACAGGCCTCCGGGTTTGAACCTAGGGAGCCCAGCGGTGGTGCTGGCACCATGCCCTGATGCTGGGCTGCCTCTGTGCGTTTGATCTTTACTTATTTGTATTGTTCCGAGCGAGCGGCTAGCAGCTCGCGCCCGCCCGCAGGCCCACCCGCCCGCCTACCCGTGCTCTCGTGCAGCCCGCCACCCCCGTCCCCTCCGCCGTCGGCAAACGCCGTCCTGGCCACGTCGTGGCGCGAGGGAGGGGCGGCTGCGTTGGCCAACGGGGTGAGGCCTGCGAGCCCGCGGCCCGAGTCGCACGGCTCCTCCATCTCCACGCCCTCGTCGATGGAGGCCTCCATCACGGGGCTGATGGGCGACACCGAGCGGCCCTTGCGGGTCGGAGGCACGGGCTCCAGCATGCAGCCGCTCACCTGGGGGTGTGGGGGAAACGGGTGAGCGCACACGACACACCGAAAAAAAAAGATCCCACTTGTAGCCTTAACAGACTTTTGGGGCAAGTGCTGTATTTTTTTTGCTATTTCTTCCAGGGCAAGTGCTGTTAGCGAGCACCTATTGAAGCCGGGATGGCTCACAAGGGGGTGGGTGGCCAGCACCAACGCCTGACCACCTTTGTCTCCACAGTGGAGATGTTTACACATCGCACCAGGTACTCATTTGAGGCCGAGTCGACCTAGCGGAGGCCGAGGACCGGTTCAGATAATCGTCACCGGTGTTGACCGTGAACAAGACTCAAACTCGCGTCGCCGGGTTCGTAGCGCAGCACGGCGCTAACCGCCGTACCACCGCACATGACAGACACACATGACGCATACGCTTGTGGATGCATACACGCATGCACACACACACACACTTAAATTCAGACGTGCACACAAACACACAAGACAATGCTGCGCCATGCAAAGATGCTTGTTTTTGTTTTTAAATAAAACTACGCACACTGTTTATATAACCAGATGAGAGCCAGACGGAGGGCAAAGTGTCTTGTGAGTTATCCTGCACCTCCAATTAGCACGGGTGGCGATGTACGGTGCGAAAGTAGTCATACATACACACATATTACCTGGGCTAAAACGACAAAAACGCACGGGGCAATATTTGAGCGCGCCAAGCAAAACAACCCAAGTTGAACAAACCCAAGTTACTCAAAGACGAAGCCCCAGCTAATTTTCAACGCAAATCTGCACAACAACAAAAGTCTTCTCGGTTCTTTCGGTAAAGTCACGTATAATGGAAATAATAAAATAATAAAAATAAAATTAAATTCTCACGACGTTTCGGCCACAACAAAAGTACCAACAAAAATAGCGCCACGTTTTTGTCAGCGACGTTTTGGAACGAATACATTTTCGTCCAAATGTTTTGCAAAAAAATTCAAAGCCATTTTTTTTACTTTATTGGAATAGTATTTTTACACTTTGTACCACAGGGAGGTTTGTCCCTGCACCACAATCCGCGGGGGACGGCCCTTACTCGAACTTTGAATTCTGGATTCCCAAGCAGGTGGCAATTTTAGCCGGATCGATCCTGCCAAGAGCACCTATGCGTGGCTCCCATTCTGACGCTCACCGGGTCCCCATCGGAAAAGTGGGGCAACCGTGCGGCTTGCTCAAGAGCAACTGATCCCAGGTGAACGGGCTCATATCCGTTGGTAGACACAACCGTTCCCAGGTTTCTTCCGTTGTTATACAACACACCAGTGTTGTTTACGAAACAGCTCACGCGAAAACCAGCCGACTACTGGGGTACAATCACCATGATCTCAATGCAAGCGTTGCCCAATTATCTATATTAGTTTTATATATCTCGGTCCCAGGATTCCCTGATGATGATGATAATAATAAACACAAGTCAAACCTTCCCCCTGCCGCCCTCCATCCATGCCTCATTTGCCCCTGAGGTTTACTAAAATACCAGAGGCCAGACATCAATTACAATTCATTCATTAAATGTTTAAAAGCCACGAAAATAAACGGGCCTTTTTTGTAGCAGGCCTTCCCGTAACCAGAGATACATTCTCTGACGTGCCACGGCCACGGCCACGAGGGAGAGGGCCCCCCCTCCACCCCTCCACCCCTCCACCCCCCGGAGCCTCGTGCTGACTTGACTCAAGCGGCCTCCAGACGCTGCCACCGCCGACGCCACCGCCGCGTTGGTTGCAAGCGAGATATATATTACTGGGTTGGTTGCAAGCGAGATATATATTACTGGGTTGGTTGCAAGCGAGATATATATTACTGGGTTGGTTGCAAGCGAGATATATATTACTGGGTTGGTTGCAAGCGAGATATATATTACTGGGTTGGTTGCAAGCGAGATATATATTACTGGGTTGGTTGCAAGCGAGATATATATTACTGGGTTGGTTGCAAGCGAGATATATATTACTGGGTTGGTTGCAAGCGAGATATATATTACTGGGTTGGTTGCAAGCGAGATATATATTACTGGGTTGGTTGCAAGCGAGATATATATTACTGGGTTGGTTGCAAGCGAGATATATATTACTGGGTTGGTTGCAAGCGAGATATATATTACTGGGTTGGTTGCAAGCGAGATATATATTACTGGGTTGGTTGCAAGCGAGATATATATTACTGGGTTGGTTGCAAGCGAGATATATATTACTGGGTTGGTTGCAAGCGAGATATATATTACTGGGTTGGTTGCAAGCGAGATATATATTACTGGGTTGGTTGCAAGCGAGATATATATTACTGGGTTGGTTGCAAGCGAGATATATATTACTGGTTGGTCGGTTGGGTTGGTTGCAAGCGAGATATATATTACTGGGTTGGTTGCAAGCGAGATATATATTACTGGGTTGGTTGCAAGCGAGATATATATTACTGGGTTGGTTGCAAGCGAGATATATATTACTGGGTTGGTTGCAAGCGAGATATATATTACTGGGTTGGTTGCAAGCGAGATATATATTACTGGGTTGGTTGCAAGCGAGATATATATTACTGGGTTGGTTGCAAGCGAGATATATATTACTGGGTTGGTTGCAAGCGAGATATATATTACTGGGTTGGTTGCAAGCGAGATATATATTACTGGGTTGGTTGCAAGCGAGATATATATTACTGGGTTGGTTGCAAGCGAGATATATATTACTGGGTTGGTTGCAAGCGAGATATATATTACTGGGTTGGTTGCAAGCGAGATATATATTACTGGGTTGGTTGCAAGCGAGATATATATTACTGGGTTGGTTGCAAGCGAGATATATATTACTGGGTTGGTTGCAAGCGAGATATATATTACTGGGTTGGTTGCAAGCGAGATATATATTACTGGGTTGGTTGCAAGCGAGATATATATTACTGGGTTGGTTGCAAGCGAGATATATATTACTGGGTTGGTTGCAAGCGAGATATATATTACTGGGTTGGTTGCAAGCGAGATATATATTACTGGGTTGGTTGCAAGCGAGATATATATTACTGGGTTGGTTGCAAGCAAGATATATATTACTGGGGGGAAATCCGGCCACTGGGTGGCACGGGGCGGCGGTTAAGAGCCCGTTGGGCTCGCGATCGGAAGGTGTGCGAGTTCTATTCGCGGTCAGGGGTGGCTCAGCCCTGCACCCCCCCTAGGATCTTCATAAACGAAGAACAACAACTTCTAGGGGAAGTCAACAGCAGCTGGCCCACGGATAAACTCACCCCCCGCCCCCCCCCCCCCCTATAATAGTAACGAGGAATTTGCAGTGTTGGGCAAAGGGCTGCAAACTGGAGATGATCTCCTTTGTTTTGAATGCTGCACATGTTGGCGCCAGGGAAGGTTTGCATTGGTTGCTTGTAGGCGTGCGAATGAAGTCTAATCTAAAACGAAACTATTTTTTATTTTACCAGGTAAGGCCTACCGAGCTAAATAGCTCTTTTTCAGAAGCGACTCGGCCACCAATTATTGGTCAACGAGAAGTGGCTTATCGCGTGGAAATTTATAGCAGGAAAAATGCACTGAACGCACGATGTTTCCAAATGTGGAGGTAATAATCGGAGGACCCGTAGAAAAATCCACACGACCACGGGGAGAACACGCAAACTCCAAATGTACAGGCATCAGGGTCGGGGTCGAACCCACGACCTCCTGTATACCAGGCGAGGCAGCTAACATCTCGCTACCGCGGTGCCCCTTAAGTCAACGGAAGCAAAGAAATATGCGGTATTCACTGCACCCACAGCTTATTGTGTGGAAACGTTCTAAAGCGCCCAACTGTTTTCAGCAAAATGTGCACTTTTGGGACGATCAACGCAAAACAGCTCAAACACCCCCGCACGAAGAACGGCGATTGCAACGTTCCGCATTTCCGTTATTTGTCTACAGCGACTCGAAAGCATCAATGCAAGATACAGCCAACAAAAACAGTGTCGCAAATTGCGAAGGAATAAAAAAAACACAACGCACGAGTCACGTGAACTGCGTTCGCGTGCCACTCGATGCAGCGGCGCCAGTTCTGCCAACAGCGGCTGATTTCTAAACGCCGTTACCAAAGTGAAACCGGCACGCCCCCCTCCCCCCAACCTTGTCTCATGCCAAGTAGACGTTAAATACTCAACAACATCATTCACAAAAGCGGGCCAACGTATAACCTACGTCAAGGTCAATATTGACGAACCACCTTAAGACCGCATCGTGACCTTCGACCCACTTGTGGAAGCATGGGGTTTGTGTGCGTTGATAAGGCCTCTGCCCAGAGACAAAAAACGATGTTGGCTGCGCGAGGTCACGTGACGAGGCCGTCTCCTTTTCCCTCACTGCAGACTGTTGTTGCTGCTGTGGCTGCCTGCCAGCGATCCCTACACCACGAGTGTGGGGGGAAAATACGTCCTTTCATATCGGCAGGCCCTTGGCGGGTCACATCCCGGTAAACGTGGAACGTTGGGCCACCGGTTCCAAGCAAGTGCAAACGTTGGAACGTTAAACTGGGATGAGACCTACCTAAACTAAATGTAACAATTTTTTTATTTTACCAGGTAAGGCCCACTGAGCTAAAAGCTCTTTTTCAGAAGTGACCCGGCCACAAATGACAGCTCAACAAAGGGGCTCATTGCGTGGAAATTTATAGCAGCCAAATACTCTAAACGCAAGTTGATTATAAATGTGCAGGGAAAATAGGAAGATTCGGTGAACAATCCATGAGACTGCGGGGAGAGAGACACGCAAACTCCAAATCTACAGCAGACGTCAGGGTCGGGATCAAACCCACCACCTCCTTCGGCACCGGCTATCGTAGAATGCGGTCGTGTCGCTACAGTTCTCTGCGGTCAGTACAATGTCTTTAAAAACAACGGCGCTAGGCCTCTCTAAATAAAATCAACGCTGAACCACTTTGGCGCATTTCCGAGATGCAGCGGTGAACAGGGACCCACCCTGCAACTTGCAAACGTTTCACAAAGGGAAAGGGTTAAACACCTGGGAGGCACAGGCCAGTGTGAAACGTGCGATAGGAATGCAGTGACTTGATTGCACCAGAGTAGGGGGGAGGGGGGGGGGGTGCGTGGCCATGGCAGGGTCGAGTATCCGTGGGACATTGGCGTGTTGTGGAACACGACGGCAATCGGCGCGCGGACACACGCTGAGCGAACCGCCCGTCTCAAATCGTTAGTCTCCTGGCTCGGCTCGACGAGTGCGGCCATTAGACGGAGTTCACGCCGCACGACGGAATTAACCCCCGCTCGGCCACCTGGCTGCAATTAAAATCACCACCGTCACACTCGTAAAATTGTGTTTACTTTTGTTATTGTTGTTATTGTTATTGTCGTCGCCTCCACCATCGTCGTCGCCATTTCTGTTTATTGTGCGTAGAATTTCTGCTCATTTATTTGCCCTCCGTAGCCTCGAGTTGTGACACGCTGTGGCTACACATTGCAATTATGGCAAATGGTATTTTAAGAAATAACTCTTAACTTTTGCTGTCGATACCGTATTATTATGTTGTCCGAAAGAAAGGGTTTCAAAGGGATGCTTTCTGACACAACAGCCGATCTTCTGGTCTATTAAAATCTCTACGAGCTTCTTTCCTTTCCGCTCATAATTGTAATTGCTCCAAAAATAAACCACGTCCTGCGGGGGGAAGCTAGGGGCCGAGTTGTTCTTCTATTGGATGTGCGCCTTGCGGGAAAAAAAAGCTTTCGCGCACTTCGATGGACGCCGAACAAAAGCTGAAAAAGCACACGCTTGAAAATACGTTGAGAGAATACGGGAGAAGATCACGCTGAACTAGCCAACTTGCGAAAGTTAGAGACGTCATATTCACCGTTGGGAAAAACTAAGCGGGCTTGGGGCAGGAACATGTCGCTAGAAGGGACAATGGCGGGTGCGGGGGACTCACGACGCCAATGGGAATTTGAGCAGATTAGGGTCAGGCTTAAAACTAAACTACTATTAAAACTAAACTACTGTTAAAACAAAACTACTGTAAAAAAAATGTCATCAGATAAGGCCCACTGAGCTATGTAGCTCTTTTCAGAAGCGAGCTGGCCACAAATGATAGCCCAACGAAGTGGCTTATCGCGTGGAAATGTACAGCAGCCAAATACTCCAAATGCATTGTTTCTAAATGCGGTGGGAAAACCGGACGACCTGGAGAAGAATCCACTAGACCACGGGGAGAACATGCAAACTCCAAATATACAAATATCAGGGTTGGGATTGAACCCACGAACCTCCTGTACAGGAGGAGAGGTAATTAACATCTCGCCACTGCGGCGCAAAAAGTTTCAACGAATTGTTGAGATTCACCGTCGGGATCTTTCCTTTTCTTAACCATACACAGGAGGTATTGGCCACAAGGAGCTGGAGTGGGGCGCATGAAGCAATTACAATTAAATCTTATATACCAATGAAAAATGTCCATTCCCACACTTGCGATTTGCATGCGTGTAACATTTACCTCAAGAATCAACCTATATTCATCGATGAATTGACACATTATACACGGCTCGATAACATGTCTATCCACGTACGTGGCGTGTGTGTGTTTGTTTTGCGCGCGGTGCTGGCCACCAACCCCCTCCCTTGTGTGCCATGCCGGCCTTAATAGCGGCTCGCTAACAGCACTTACCCCAATGGTTTGTCGAAGGCTATACGGGGTATCTTTGTCTTTCGATTTAAAGCTTTCGTGACTGCAGGGATTCATCTTCTTGGTTCTATCAGTAAAGTCACGTAGAATGGAAATAATAAAATAAAGAAAATAAAACATAATAAAATAATATAATAATATAATATTATATTATTATTTCCATTCTACGTGACTTTACCGAAAGAACCAAGAAGATCTTTGTCTTATTGTGGTGGACAGCGCCAACTCCACCTAAGACGTCCCCTTTGGCCCGCTTTCTCCAGCCTCAAAGACACTGGTCCAGCCAGCCGCGTCGAGAATTATGGACCCGGCGGGAAGGGTCGAATAAATCACGGTGGGAAGAATGAGTCACCTTGGGGGTCGGCACCAAGAGTTCCTCCTCCAGCAGGCCCAGCTCCATGGGGTGTCCTCCGCCGGACTGGGCAAACGAGCCGCGCTCCGTAGCCAGCGCCGTGAAACCGGCGCACTGCTGCTGCTGCTGCTGCAGATGGTGATGCCTGATGTTCTGAGGCAGGAGACCCATGGGATACATCGCTGGGTTGGCCTGAAACGACACGTGGGGGGGGAGAGGAAGGGGGGACGGCACTTGCTTTACATAACGCGGCTCGTTAGTGCTTGCGGGGGGCGGGGGGAATTGCGATGCTGTGCCCCGACACCGATGCTCGCCGTGGCCGGGAGTCGAGCTGGGGTCGGCAGGGTTCGCGGCCGCCACTCCACGCACGGCGTGCACACACTTAGCAACGCGCTCGCTCGCTCGCACACAATCACTTAACGCGCCACTACGCGCACGTTTTTTCCCCTCTCTTCCTTCCACGTCACGTGGAAGTCATTACCCACGGAATGTAAATGTAATGTATACGCGAGTACATGTAAAGAAACGTGGCAGTATTTATACACGGGCGTGCTCCCGAGACAGAAAGTGTGCGTGTACGTGGGCCGTGATCTGTGCTCGATTTGAGGCGGCGCTTCATTGCCACGCGTGCCCAAACGTGTGTTTTAGGAGTTGTGCGGTCTCTCGATTGAGCACTGCGCACGCAATTAGGGCCGCTATTTTTATTAGCATCACCTCCAAAGTATGGGACATTGTTGGGGGGGAAGGACTCAACAATAAACATCCCCATGGAGATGTATTGCACAGCAGATAATTGCTAACAGCTGTGCCTACCACACAAAGACCACAAAAACCCGCGCGAGTCGGTCCACGCAATCAGCGATTACAGAGCAATCTACTCTACAAGCGACTTAGAAGCGCGCGAGAAGGGAATGCAACGCTGCCGTGCCGTCACGCATGGCATGGTTCAAGCCTGGACCTCGCGTCGACTGCCCGGAGCACGCGTCCCATCGCCAAGTCCTGTGAACGTGGCTCCATCCACGCAGGAAGTGCGCCGGTTTGCGGCGCGAATTCCACACAGCCGAGACTTCCCAAAGACGAACGGGCGAGGACTTCTTTGTACGGCTCCGAGATATTTCAGTCAAAACTATAAACCAAACTAAACTATTTTTTATTTCACCAGGCAAGGCCCACTGAGCTATATAGCTAATTTCAGAAGCGACTTGGCTACCACAAATATTAGCTCAACGAAGTGGCTTATCAAGTGTAAATATGTAGCAGCCAAATACTCTAAGGGCACGTTGTTTCGCAATGTTGAGAGAAAAATCTGAGGACCTGGAAAAATATCCATACAGTTGTCAGAGTCAGGATCGAACCCACGACCTCCCGAATACTAGGCGAGTTAATGAACATCTCACCACCGCAGCATGGAAGGCTCGGCTTAGCAGGAGCGAGTCCTGCAAAGCGGCGTTATGAGCAAGCAATTGCAGGGCTGAATCTTTCACCCTGTCCTCTACTATAAATGCACCTGCACAGGCTTAAATGCTCACTGTGCAGCAGCCAAAAGCGCCACCTTGCTGCAGATGAACACACGGGCTGCCCGCTTCAGGTTACCGCTCGCGTTGGTGAAGGCGGCTGCTTCTGCATGCGCGTACACGTGCGTGCGCGTACACGTGCGTGCGCGTATAAGTGCGTCCGCGAGCGTGTACCTTGGCGAGGGCCTGCTCGGCGATGGTGCTCGGCCGCCGGTTGCGCGCGTCCACGCGGTGGTCCACGGGGAAGCTGGAGCGGTGAGCTCTCAGGCGGTCGACAAGCAGGTGGTAGATGGCGAAGCAGTGGTTGTAGCTTCTGTTCTGCAGCGACTGCTCGCGCACGCAACGCACGCGGCGCGGGGGAAACGGCAGGTGGTGAGCGAGGTCGGGGTGTCCGTCGCTCGCTCGGACGGTCGCTGTGTCGGCCGTTTGGCGGAAGTCGTCAAAATGAATAAAAAATCAGCGGAAACAACTTTGCAATGGGCAAACTGTGCACGCTGTTAAGAGGGGGACGAGGGGGTAAAAAACGCAGCAACGATGGATAACGTCGCTCGCGACGGGCTACCTCCAGCGTCTTCTGCTGGTCGATGCCCAGGCTCTGCATGAGCCTCAGCACGTGCTCGTTGTACTGGGGCAGGCCCGGGCTGTACAGCGGCGATGGCGACGCGGACTCCGACGCGGCCGCTGGCTGGACGGACACGGCCGGTGGCGGCGGCGGCGGCGGCGGAGGAGGCGGCGTGGGCGGCGACGGGAGGGCGGCGGCCGCGGTGGCGGCGGCGGCGGCGGCGGCCGTGGCGGCGGACGGCTCGGCGCGGCTCTGCTGCTCCCCGAGCGTGGCCATGGGCGGCTGCTCAGGCAGCACGAGAGCGCGGGGCGGGCCGCCCTCGCCCTGCAGCCAGCGGTGCTGCCGGATCTGCGCGATCGTCAGCCGCTTGGACGGGTCGAGCACGAGCATGCGGCGGATGAGGTGCTCGCAGTCTGCAGCGGCGCAGCGAGAGAGAGAGAGATGAGTGAATTAAGAGAACGATTGAAAACGGCGCAAACGGTTGACGGATACAAAAACACAGGCGCGTCACAAACGGACGGATAAATAAATTTGTAAACGCGATACGGCGCGATAAAAACTGTCAAAAGTTGATTGCAAAGTGTTCAAACGAAGCGTGTCGATGAAGCCAACTAGCATGTGTTTCTGTACGTGTTTGTGTATATATGTGAATTATCAAGTTTTCCCATACTGTGATTTAAATAGTAAAACATAGTTTCATAAAAAAAAGGAATCAAACACGGATAATCGAATGAGGAAATAACTCTCTCGGACAAACGAGCGACCAAAATATACACACAAACATACAAGTAGCCAAACAATCTCAAGTAATGAATTAGACCAACGAATACTGGTGCTGTTGTCAGATACACAAAGCACAACATTGCCACGTCAGAATTGAAACACGTTCAGGAAGGGGCTTGATTAACTCCACTACGTTTACGTAAGAACTCGTGTATGTACGTCATACTTTCTTGTTGTTATTGTTGTTATTGTTATTTAAAATAAAGCTAACGTTACCCGCCTACGCAGCGACATTTATTAAGTGGAATCTGCACAATAACACAAACACACACGCAAACAAACAAACGATTATCCTTCCTTTAAAATGACTCAGCTTTACAAACTGAGGTCAGGAGGGAGGGAGAGGGGGAAAAGGAATTAATTTATACCATTGTTTCCAAGCGCTGCCACCGTTGTCGTCGAGTAGGTGTTAATGCGTCATCACCGCCGTTCGTTTTCGCGTCTTTTCATTTTATTAATTTAATTTCACCCAAAGAGATGAATATGATTATCGCGGCGACACGTTTTGCCTTGGCTCACGTGGCCTCTTGCCGCCCCCCCGACCACCACCCCGGTCCCTCCCGCACCCCCCCCCCCCCCGTGCCTGTCGGGGTCTAGCGCTGTGAGGATCCAGATTCTCCATGCGAGCTACGGAGCCCGTGGCGGCGCCACGCTCGGCCGGAAACAACTAAATTGAGAACCTCACGTCAACGCAGACAATCAGCGCGGTCGGAATCGCCGTTTGCTCGGTGTCACGCGTCGCATCGCATCTCCTTCTGCTCGTGCACACGGCTGTGTTTGAATGCTGTCATATATCTAGAAACGTGCGTTCAGATCGCTTCAGATTGTTATGCTGCTATGCGTTTCTACTTGATGGGCCACTTCGCTGCGGTATCGTTTGTGGCCATGTCGCTTCTGAAAAAGAAGCTCACAGCTCGGTGGGCCTTACCTGGTAAAATGAAAATAGCTTAGTTTTATTTTTATATATTTTTCAAGTGATTTGTTTACCTTTCCTATACTTACCACTCCGATCGTGTTTTTGTGTTGTTTGATGTTGTACCGTTCTTACCCGCCCCTACTGGATATCTGTGAAAAAGAGCTTTATAGCTAATCGGATTCCTCCACTAGAAATACACATTCTGATTCCGATATGAGAAGTCTAAATCTGGCTTATGCAACCATGACATTCCCTCGATTCCTCCATCAAAATATCTGAGTGAGCGAGCATCGATGACGCACTGCCGTCGTTTCATTTTAGCCCTCTAACTCCGAGATGGTAAAAACAAACAGCAACGCTTTCTAAGCGAACTAAGTACAAGCGCAGAGGAGAAACGAGCTGTGCAAAGAATGCGACTCCATCGCTCAACGAGCAGCTGCGGCAGCGTGAGCGGGGATGGGCACTCTTGGCTCGAACAAAAATGAACAGAAATTATTTCACGCAAACGCCGACTCCTGCCCGCCTTAACGTCGCGTACATTAGCGGAGTGGGGCCGCGGGTGACGAGAAAAGCTGGATTCTGCAAGTTACAAAGGGGGGACGCGAGGTTTGTAACGAAGGACGCGACGTCACCCCCGTCGCGGCCTTTCGCGTTAAATCAAAACGACGGACCGGAGAAGCAGTCGTGCTCCGAGCAGCGGGGCGGTGCCTCCGACGGGGACAGACATTCCTGCGCGCAGAATTCAACGGCACGCACCAAACGTCTCCATTTCGGCGGCAGACAATGGTCACTCGATCAAGCTTGAGTTTTTGTTTTTTGTTACTACTCCGTAAAAATTGCGCTCTTTTTAAGTAGCAGGAGAAAATTTACAGCTCAAAGCAGAGTTGTTTATCAGAGCGTAAAACCAGCTCTTCGGTAGTTTCGCCGGGCAAAACGCGCTGCCATCTCTGGTGGGATAAAACTCAGATTCTACGTTCGGGATTTGCCCGGCCCGTCAGTGACGTCCGAGACCACCGTGCGTTTCTGCGTCCACGGGCCCCCACCCCCCTCCTCCGCCCCCCCACCGAGCGATGCGCGGTGTGTCTCTCGGCGACGTTTAAAACCCGCTCCGTGTAATCACCGAAGCAGAAACACATTGACGGCGACTTCTGGGACCTCATCGGGCGGTCTCTACTGGGGCGTTCAAATCCTGCAGAAGACTGATGCCGTCACGCGTATTTACACAACGGCGTGTATGTGAAACGTGCGGGGTGGGGGGGGGGAACGAAAGACGACCTCCACCACCCCGCCGCAACCTCGCCCCCCTCCCATTTAGCCGTACGAACTGCCTGGGAAGAGCGCTGATCTGAGCAGGTGTTTGTCGTGAGCGGGATCGGCGCTGTGGACTCAGCGGCAGCTGGACGCAGTGCTGGTCCGCACCGACTCTCGCTCACAAAACGTGCCCCGTCAATGTCACGTGTGTGCGTGTGAAAGCGTGTTGTTCGTAATAATGGAAGGAACCCGAGAAGAGAGGAGGACCTAGCAGCGAGTGGCTCGCTGACGACGTCAGAGATTGGTGCCAGAAAGATGTGGCCAGTGAGCAAATTGGCACTACAAGACGGTCAGGAAAGTGGAAACGAATGACGAAATGTGGCAGTGGACACCTACAGGCCTAGCTGCCCATGGATCGTGATGATGATATGAAAATATACTCCTTAGTCTCACTGTGCTCTCAATCATCTATCATCTACTGCTGGACGGGCGCCGTGGTGGCTAGGAGATGTTAACCAACTCGCCTGGTATACAGGAGGTTGTGGATTCGATCCCGACCCTGACGCCTGGTGTATATGTTGAGCATTCATGTTCTCCCTGTGTAGCGCGGATTTTTCTCTGGGGCCTCCGGTATTTCCCTCCACATTCAACATCACGCGTTTAAAGTATTTGTCTGCTATAGGTTTCCACTTGATAAGCCACTTCTAGATTTGAAGTTTTTGTGACTGCAATGATTCATACTCTTTGGTTTTTAGGGTAAAATCACGTCGGTAAAAATATAAAATTAAAGAATAAATGAAAAAAACTACTATATTAAATCACAAGTGATTTCTTTTATTTAATATTTTTACCTACGTGACTTTACCGAAACAACCAAAGAGTATAAGCCACTTGGTTGAGCTATCATTCGTGGTCAGGTCACTACTGAAAAAGCTCTATATAACTCAATGGGCCTTACTTGGTCAAATATTTTTTTTTGTTTACTTGTGTAATGTGAGGATATATCCGGCTCACTGACATATCACAACTCGTCATGATGATTGGCTCTGCTGGTCCTGGTCTATAGCCAATGGGGGGAAGCCTAGGGGCGTGGCCCTGATGTAATGGAAAGGTGACAGCTGTAAGGATTGGTTCTGCTGGCCTTGGTCACAGCCAATGGGGAGATGAGTCAGGGGCGTGGTCCCGGGAGCTTACGAGGGAGCCTGGAATATTCCATGGAGGCTAACCAGGATTGGTGGAAACGTACCACGTGACCCGGGTATTAAATAGGGGTGGAGACGAACGACACGTGGTCAGAACGGGAACGAACAGAGGAAGGGGGCCACACGGGAGCGGGGCTCCGGGTTGCCACGTGGCGGCGCGTCTCTCTCTATCTGTCCCTCTCACGCTGCCTGTCAGCAGCATGAAGGAAAGCTGTAAAACAAGTTGAATTAAAGACGGATTCCAGAAGTCGCCTCAACGACCTTTATTACACTTGGACTCGAATACGTTCAGGAATCCACGTGCTCCTATTTTCATCTCTCGGTGTAATTGTAAGTGTGCATCTTCTCCATGCTTCGTTACGCAATGGGCCGGTTCTTCAAAAAAGGTCATCGCTATATTTGCGAGGCCGTAGACAATTCTCCGCGTGTCTGGTGGCGATGCCGCTGGGTGGGAAGGCATCGTGTTACTCGAATGACGATGGAGGAGGGGGGGGGGATTCACCTTCAGACATGAAGTAGGGAATGCGAAATCGCCCCTCCAGTACCCTCTGCTTGAGGATGGGCAGCGTCGGACCGTCAAACGGGAGGGCTCCACACACCAGCACGTACAGCACGACTCCGAGGGACTGTGGGACACACGCACGCATCAAAGACAAAGATCCCCCGTATATAGCCTTAACAGACTGTAGGGGCAAGTGCTGTTAGCGAGCACACGCAACGCACACACCCCCACCGGCATGTAACACACGCACGCACACACACACCACCACCGGCACGCACGCAATCGTTTATTGTGCATCATACACACAGAGTGCACACTCGGGATGGGTTTTGGATTTTAGAGAATATTTGGATTTCTTTGGGTCTAACAATAGCGACGTCATCCGATGCCCCATGGCAGCACTTTCGGTGGGAAAAGCATGGAAGTGGCATCGTGCAAGTGGCATCGTGCTTTTGGATCAATCCAAAAGAAAACTGTCAAAAATTGTAACGTACAAAATAAAGATGATCGATTATTTGAAACAATCCGAAAAATCGGGAACACATTCCGAACAGAATTGGGATCTTCCTTATTACAATATTTTGGCTTTAGCGATTTGAAGCTGCGGTATCTCCGACGAGAACGGTTAGCTCCGATTAGCACGATTGCCCACGTACAGTGTGAAAGAAGTTCAACATACATACGTGCATCTCTGCAAGCTTGTTGTGTATATGTAGAACTTCTTTCACACCAGCGATCTGCACCGGACGTGCGTGCGTAGCTTTTTCTTTCGCGAGCCATATTCACACGTGGCCCTCAAAAAGTGTCGGCGACAGGGCCGCGCAGTTGCTCGAGGGCCCATTTGACCCCGGCAACCGCTACGGCTCGCCCCCCGCCAACCGCTACGAGCCCCCCGCCGCCGCCGCCGCTGCTGCCACCACCACTCACCCAGACGTCCAGCTGCGGCCCCTCGTACTCCAGCCCCTCGAACACCTCGGGGGCAGCGTACGGCGGGCTGCCGCACCACGTCGTCAGCGCCTCGCCCCGCCGGAAGAAATTCCCAAATCCAAAGTCTGCGCCGTGGGAGGTCATCGTGGGGTCATGGGGAGGGAGGGGGGTGAGGGGGGGAAAAACGAAGCGGTAGTTGGCAACAATTCGGAGCGCGGGCATCATGTGTTGAGTGTTCGTAACACTATTCTTGGGTTTTTTCGGTAAAGTCACGTAGGTAAAAATTTTTTTTTTTATAAAAGTAAAATAAAAATAAAATAAAAATCACGACGTTTCGGAGGCAACACAAGCCTCCGTCTTCAGGTGGAACCGTCACAGCACGATAGCTGTATCAAGTGAGAGAAATTCCAAGAAAACAGTCCTTGTATATATACCGGTTGAGGAATTTCTCTTACTTGATACAGCTATCGTGCTGTGACGGTTCCACCTGAAGACGGAGGCTTGTGTTGCCTCCGAAACGTCGTGATTTTTATTTTATTTCTATTTTACTTTTATTAATTTAAATTTTAATTTTTTACCTACGTGGCTTTACCGAAAAAACCCAAGAATATGAATCCTTGCAGTCACGAAAGCTTCAAATCTAGAATTCGTAACACTAGTCGATGTGCAATGTGTACAGTCCTTTGTAAATCCAAAGCTGGATGGAGGGGGGAGGGGGGGCACCTCCCAACTCTGCACGGGTTGCGGAGGTTATTTGACCGTACTTCACCGTGCTCGTCAACGGGGGTTGGTGTCAGCGGCTCAAGCACAGACGCGAGCGAGCAGAAGTAAAGTAACATCAAGTGATATTTCTGCAAAGCCCAATGTTGCCCACAAAGTGACCCGGTGACTTATAGTAATATCCTGTTATGCACGTAATCCCTCATTAAAGCACTTATCCAGACTCAAAGCCTGCTTAGCTTCCGAGATCTGATGAGATCTGATGCATTCCAGGTGGTTTGCATGAATATATTCGCACTTAGCCAGAAAAGCTTCACGAATTCCGAGACGATTTTCTATTCAGGCGGTTCCAACTTGGGACGATTGGCAAATGCATTTTTGTGTGTAACAGGAAACTGGGAGTGTTTGGGGAAAACTCACTCGTTAAAAAAAAAACATATGAACTGAAGACAAAATAGGTCAACAAACTACTTGCTACTCTTAGGTTTTTTCGGTAAAGTCACGTAGGTAAAAATAAATAATACAAATAAAAATAATAGAAATACAATTATTTAAAATAATATTATTTCAATTATTTATTTTTATTTCTATTATTTTTATTATTTATTTTTACCTACGTGACTTTACCGAAAAAACCTCAGAGTATGAATCCTTGCAGTCACGAAAGCTTTAAATCTAGAACCTACTTGCCGTACTTCCACTTCGCAGGAACTTAGTGCTCTGTGGATGGGTGCATCACACAAATACACGATCCGACAGCCTCTCCACCGCGTCACTCAAGTACTCTAAACGCCTGTTTAGAAACATGCGTTTAGACCAATTAGCTGCTATAAATTTCCACACGATAAGCCACTTCGTTGGGCTATGATTCGTGATCATGTCGCTTCTAAAAAAAGAGCTGTATAGCTCAGTGGGCTTGGTAAAAAACAATTGTTGATAGTTCTAGTTGAATAGTTTAACCATGGGAGTGTCGAACAATATTATTTTAATTCCTGTGAATTAATTCAATATTGGACAAGCTAGACGATAGAACGATCTAGACGGAAGCAGAAGAGGGAGACGGGAGAAAATGAGAGGGAGAAAATGAGATTAGTAGATTTGGGATTTGGAACGCTCACAGCCAAGACAGAAATAGAAAATAATTGATATCAATGCAAACATTACAAATTAATTGGTTTTCAAATGGGTTACCCAAACGGCGGAATAATCTCAAGACGTCTGCCACACTTGGGAGGTGCAAACATCGCCAAACGAGGATTGTTCAACATGCGTTTGTTTAACATGCAACAAAAAAAAACTAACCACGTCTCATCACGCTAGCTACATTTAAAAGGGTTAAAAACAGCGACGTTTGAATAAGAGAAAAAATCCCAACAAATTTTATTTTTGCGAGGGAACAATGGAAAAATTAACGATGTGTTGTGGTCCTGCAGTTCACTGACGTGTGTAGGGGTGGAGAGGTGGGGTGGAGGCGCATTATTGCTGAAGTGGCAATAATAGCAATCCCACTGGGACCTATGGAAACATGGCACCATTCGGGACCGTTAATCAAATGGATGAACATAATTTGGTATTTGTGCCGGATAGATTTGAATCGGCTCTTTCCACGCACAGTCCGGGCCAGGGTTGGACAGACTGGAAACCCGTTTGTTTGCAAGTCCTTCTCCGAACACCATATTCTAAAACAACAATAAACAAACCCACCACAACAACAACAAAAAAATGTGGGTCCTTGACCGACTGCCACGGGGTAACAACGGAAAAGGAGATGATGTCACAGATCCCAGTCACTTCCTGTTCGCTGTCACGACATTTAACAGCCATGTGTGCGCGTGTGCGTGTGTGGTGGCACAGTGGGGAGCGGTGGCGCAGTGGTTAGAGAGCGCTGCGTTACGAACCCGGCCGCACGGGTTCCATTCCCGCTTCACGGCCAACACCAGTGACGATTATCTGAACCGGTCCTGGGCCTCCCTTAGGTCGACTGAACCTCAAATGAGTACCTGGTGCGGTGTGTAAATATCGCCAAGGCAGCTGGGTGTGGTGCTGGCCACCCACCCCCTCGTGTGCCGTGCCGGCCTTCATAGGCGCTACTCGTAAACAGCACTTGCCCCAAAATTCTTCTAAGGCTACATGGGGGTCTTTGTCCTTGTTTGTATATTTATTTTCCTACCCCCCCCCCCCCAAAAAAAAACGCACTGCCTGTTCCCAGGCTAATTCCACAACAATGGGTTTTTTTTTTGCAAGCAACATTTTCCGCTACCTTCATTAATGCGATAAGAGCCGGGGAGAGGGAAAAGACTCAACATTATAAAGTTTAAGAGGAAGTCCCCTGGAGCAAGGAACCATGATGAATGCTGTACATTTTCCCACAACTGACGCTCTTGCCAAAACGCTCATTTCATATCAAAGTAATTTGCCAAGCGGCGAATAAAATACAACTCGACCTTCAGAGACGACGGTGCCACGATAGCAAAATGCGACGTTTGCCACTGGGCGAGCTTTCCCATGCTCGTGGAATTCACTCTGGCTGTTGTAGGATTTATTTCGTAGGATATTTTGTAGGATTTATTTTGTAGGGTTTATTTTGTAGGATTTATTTTGTAGGATTTATTTTGTAGGATTTATTTTGTAGGGTTTATTTTGTAGGATTTATTTTGTAGGATTTATTTCGTAGGATTTATTTTGTAGGATTTATTTAGTAGGATTTATTTTGTAGGATTTATTTCGTAGGATTTATTTTGTAGGATTTATTTTGTAGGATTTATTTCGTAGGATTTATTTTGTAGGATTTATTTTGTAGGATTTATTTTATAGGATTTATTTTGTAGGATTTATTTTGTAGGATTTATTTTGTTCAAACGTCCGTGGAGCGTGAACCCGAGAGACTGAATTTGAGGGTGAAAGGTACGATTTAATGCACGCGATTAAGCATCGCTCTGAAGGCTGCCAATGAACTACGTACAATTGCGTGAAAGTCACGTGTAAAAGCATTCAAATAAAAACTATGTCCAAAGTAAAACCTGTTGGCAACATCTGTTGCACTGGAGGGTTTCTAGCTACTCAACACAAAAAGGGCTTTTCGTGTTCAGTTTGCTGTCCTTCCCCCACAGCTCCGCTATGTACGGTGCGAAAGAAGTTCAACATACGTAGATGCATACGTATACTTGCACGCACGCTTTTATTTACGCCTGCCAGTCGTGCCGTCGTTCTGCCGCTCTACGCCGTGGCCTCTTGACTCCGCGCAGACATTTATCTCAGACGCACGTGCACGCGAGAGAGAGCACACGACCGTCGCGGGAGGCTGGTGACGGGGGCGGCATCGATGTGTCCCCCAAGCGGTGTTGCGCAAAGTGGCTTTTGGCCTGCGACGAGGGGGCCTTTAAGCGAGATTTTTCGTGTCGCCATTTGGCCGATGGACGTTTCAAAATCCCACCGGTCAGCGCCACGTACCGCTCGCGTTCAACATACTGCAAGGTGCTACGAGCAGGAAGCGAAGGGGCGTTATTCGTCAAATTGTACCTCTCACTAAAAAAATATGAAGAACAAAATATAGCAACGTGATAATATGCACCAAGCGAAAGTGCCGATGAGCGTGCCCAATGTGCTCTCGCAAATGAGGCTTTATTCTGGAGAAAAGTTGATAGCCCGCATAGTCGTGCGAGCTTCATTGGAAGGCACTTCTTATAGTTTGTGCAGTCTCTCCGCAGAGGATTTACTTTTTTTCATCCACTTAAGCTGCCCACTCTCAAGCAAAGCCCACGTTTGGACGATGATATTTCACGAGTTATCTGGATTCACTTGTGTGCCTCTCGCAATTAGGTTTTGGGGAATAAGACATTTAATTATTTGACTAACACTAAACTAAACTTTATATTTTACCATGTAAGGTTCACGAAGCTATATTGTATACCTCTTTTTCGGAAGTGACCTTGCCACAAATGATAGCTCAACGAAGTGGCTTATCAAGTGAAAATGTATCGCAGCCAAAAACGCGTGATGTTGATCCTAAATGTGGAGGGTAAAACTGGAGAAAAATCCACGTGACCACGGGGAGAGAGACACCGCAAATACTCCAAATATACAGCAGCAGGCGTCAAGGGTGGGGATCGAAACCCCATGGAACCCCAGCATACCAGGCGAGCTGGTTAACATCTCGCCACCGCGGCGCCCTGGACACCAGCGGACCGTCACTCTACCTTTCTAGATTTGAAGCTTTCGTGACTGCAAGGATTCATATTCTTAGGTTTTTTCGGTAAAGTCACGTAGGTAAAAAATTAAAATTAATAAAAGTAAAATAAAAAATTATATAAAAATCACGACGTTTCGGATGCAACACAAGCTTCCGTCTTCAGGTGGAACCCGTCACAGCACGATAGCTGTATCAAGTACCTCACTTGATACAGCT